ACATGCCTAACTATTTGATGGGGTAACATACTAACATCATTTTTAATATTATTAGTAACTAATTATACTTCATTTATTTATGTTCTGGATATGTGTGTGTGGATGTATAGAAACTGATCGTAGGTTAAAATAGCACCGAAATAATTACATCAAAATTTTTTAAAGAAAGTTCCATTCACTCCTTCATACTTCTTCCATGCAATGACTTTTTCCCTTAAATTCATTTGTCACCCACCAAAATATTATGTAGCCCTGCAAATATCCAATCATAAAATGTAATGAAAACTAAAGACAGAACCATTGTAAAAATGATAAAAAGACAACTGATCTTTTATTAAATATGTCACTTAATTAAGATGATTATAATTCATGCAGTTGTTAATCCTTACAACAGTGGGGATATAATACAATAAAAAGAAACTTCCACTTTGCTATATACTTCCAACTAACCTATCTAGTCTTATAAAAATGAAAGAATACATACTTTTTAATCTACACATTCAATTCATATTTAACGTAATGAGAAAAGATACAAATACAAAACTTTTTGCAGAAGTAAATGTTAATCTTAAGTTTCTGTAGTACAGGGTTATGCTGTGATAAGCTATTTCATACTTCAAATTATTCAGCACAAAATTAAATTTATATAAAAACTAAATAACAATATATCAAACTTTGATATAAATATTGATATTAGCTCTCAGTATCTATCAGTACTACCAGTCTTAGAAATAGCTAATCACAGCATTAAACTCAATGAAGCAAAGATAACGAAATGGGAATAAAATGCATCAATAATAGTTATTCACCTCTTGGACTCTGGTTTTAATTCAATCTATAATAATAAGCACAAAGAATAATATCTCCAAGTGAAATGCAATTTGGAACTTAGAAAAGTGAAATCTCTATGATCTATCACCTAGAAAGAATAATCCCTTCAAAGTACTGAAATGGTATCAGAAAAATTCAAAATATAGCACCGCCTTTTCTTGAACTAAACTGCCAAGCATTCAAACTCTACTATAGAGAGTGCAACTCTGATGGGCTGGCCACATTGTTTGAATGCCAAACATATGCCTGCCAAAAAGACTATTTTACAGAGAACTTACATAGGTAAGTGCTCACACAGTGGTCAGAAGGAGGGATACAAGGACACTCTCAAGGTCTCTCAAGAACTTTGCAATCAATTATGTGACATGGGAGACACTGGCCTAGGATCACCCAGTATGGCATATCTACATCAAAGGGGGGCACTGTGCTCTATGAGGAAAGCAGAACTAAAGTAGCTCAAAAGAAACACAAAATGCACAAATTTAGAGAATCTACCCAAAATGTTCACATGGACTATTTGCACCCGACCTGCAGTAGAGGATTCTGAGCTTGTATCAGTCTGATCAGCCACAGTTGGACATCAAGTCATAACTTGACTCCAACATTGCAATGTCATTTTGGTCCTCTTCAAGAAAAAAGGACAACACCCAACCAATAGTTCACCTATACAGGTTAAGCATATGATGCTTATAATGAACTTATAATGTCTAGTAGGTACAAATAAATGGATGAATTTTATTAGGTAGTGCAAAATGCAAAAAAATGTACATGGCCTGGAAAATTTTCCCAACTACAAAGTTGCCTTATTTGGTGCGTCTATATCTTATTGCTAAAAACTGCAATATGTATACCTTCTATTAAGCCTTAAGTCAAAGACAGACTCTCTATGTCCTTTCTATGAGCCATGATGATGGCGGGCAAGTTCTCAAAAAATGTCAGTTCATTATAACAAGGAGGGACTTTGTGGTACAGTGGAAAGAGAAATAGAAAGCAGAAGGTACTGGCTACAACTGTGACTGTACTTCTTCTTTACTGTGCAACCATGACTGCTTATCTTCTCTTCGACTCAATAACCTCCATCAATCAACAAGAATTTATTTAAGCTCCTATACTATACTATACTATACTATACTATACTATACTATACTATACTATACTATACTATACTATAAATTCTGAAATCTCTACTTGTGAGAGGAACTTATATTCTAACAGGAAAGACAAAGATAAATATAAGACCAAATGTGATGATGGAAAAGCAAGTATCCTAAATATAAAGTGGTGGAATAACTATTTTAAGTACAGTAGAAAGCACACTGGACTTGAAGCTAGAAAACCTGCATCTGAATCTAGGCTCTGTTCCTTTATCTAATCTAAGTTTTACCATTCAGCCACTGGCAAATCCTTTACACTGAGCCCTAGCTTCCTGTTCTGTAAAAATGGAGATAAGACTTAAACTGTCTACCTCACGTTGTTCTTGCAAGAATCAAACACAACAGAATATGTGAAAACAATTTATAAACTTATTTACTACATAAATATGCTAGTATTATTATTAATATAATAACCACCAGCATTTACATAAGTGCTTTAAGGTTTAAAAAATTCTCTATGTGTTTTATCTCATCTGATCCTCACAACAACTCTGAGGTGGGTGCTATTATTATGCATATTTTGTAATTAATGAATTTAGTAACCACAAGTTATCAACAATAAGCTGTTGATCAAATTCTTGGAGTTTATATATATTACATGATTTCTATACATGTATCTTGAATGAATAATACTGAATTACATAAACTCAAACTTTACAGCCAACTTCTCATTACTTCTAATTCTAAAAGAAGTCATTCAAGCCTGTACCACTTTTAACCACTTCCAGGTTTTGAGGTTATTAAGGCATTATCAGAAGAGTTCAGAAAACTGGTAAAGCATCAGGTTGAGTACAAGAACAGAATCTGAATAATCAATAGTGATACCCTGGAAAGTTATAACTTAAGGACTTGAGAACTACACTGACCAATAATGATTCCAGAGAACTGAAGATAAAGCATGCTACCCATCTCCTGACAGAGAAGTGATGGATTCAAGATTCAGGATGAGACTTACATTTTTAGAAATGGAAAAGTTGGAATTTGTTTTGTTTAACTATGAGTATTCGTTATAAGGATTTGGGTTTTTTTTTTAATTGGGGTGGGAGAAGGGAAAAAATAAATGCTTGTCAGTTGAAAAATAAAATAAACTCAATCCACTAATGTTTAATGCTAGAGCTCCATATCAGTCCCAAAAATATCTTCATGACATACATACAAAACATGTATTAATCATCTCAGGTTAGTAATTTTCTAACACAGAAACACAAAATTTCTAATCACTTAACTGAAAACCACTGATTTCTTCTAGCTCTCATGAGAAGGTTCAGTTCTTTTTATTCATGTCATGTATGACCCATTTCCTTTCTATCTCAACCTAAAACTTAAGTACTTTCAGCTCCTTTGCTCCTATAGTAAAGCCCTCATCCCCATGCCACAGCATGCTGTGTACAGACAGTCTCAAGGTCTTGAAGAATCTGCCACTTCACTGCCAGCTTGACCAGAGCTTAAAAACCAGACAGGCTTCCAACCTAGACAAGGTGAGAGAGGTTCACAAGCAGGATAGCCACAAAGCATCATGAATTCTTCCGTGATATCAAGCCTCAAACGTCATCTACTCAATTCCTGAGGCCTTGCAAACTGGCCCAGTGGAGAAAAATACCCAAAACAAGGAAAGCACAAATCCTCAAAGTACTGAAGAGAAGTTAGGCTGTAGTAGCCACGAAAGGGTCATAAATAGGAAGGTCTATATCAAGAGATAACTTCACCCCCAAAAAAGTCATAATGTATTCTATATAAAAAGCAAAAAATTATTTTTCTCAATTTATTCCACCTCTCCATACAGTATCACAGAAGCAATTCCATATTTCAAATTCTATAGTGATTACAGTGATTGCCAAAGCAAGTTAACTAAAATAAATAACTCAAAAGGGAAATAGTTGTTAACTGAAAAAATGGTAACTCAACCTAGCTATATAACTAGGAATAATGATAGGAAAACTCCAAAATTACCTAAAGTAATTTATCATATAAACCAACCTTAAATTTTCAGTGAGAAAATAAAATAAAGTTAAAATTTGTAAACAGTGAACTAAATAAAACCACCACCACCACCACCAAAAAAAAAAAATCAAAACTGAAGACAGTAACCTAGGGTAACCATAAAGCCCACGACTATAGTATAGGGAGGAGTTGGCTAGATTCTCAAAGTACAGACAACAATGATATCTGTATCTCATTCAGTCATAGTATGTTAGAGCTCAGAGACAAATGAAGTGACTTGTTTAAGATCACAAAGATATCATTATGAGAGAAAGCTAGGATTTTAATCCAGGCCGTTTTTACCACTAAATATGACAGAAATCATTGTGCCAATTTACTTCTGTACTTGATCATTCATCTAAAGAATCACTGTGTCAATTTACTCCTATACTTATTAATTTAATGTAAAAGCACAAGCTCACAACTATCTACATCTTTGATATACTCAATAATATTAGATGATTTTATAGGTTATAAATATAAGCTATTTTCCTTGTAAGATTTGCCACAAAAAGAAAATTCAATTCCTGAATATTTGTGAATTCTTAATGGTAATTTTTAAAAGAGGATTTGGAGGAATCAGTTTTCCCATTCACTCACTTCTAATTCTCCCACTTTACCTCAAACATCAGTAAAAATCTCCAACTTAATAAGAATTATAGCACTTTATCACTCTTTATTTGATTTTACAGGCCAATTCTTAAAATACATTCCTTATGATGTATTAATGCATGTATTTTAACTTAATTTGGACAAATTTGTAATCTCAAAACAAAAATTTAATTTATAATAGACATTTTAAAATAATTATAAAAATACATAGCTGACAATAAAAAAACTAACAGATCTTTTTATTTCATATGAACAAAAGAAATGACAAATTTTCAGATACATTAAAACATTAATGACAGCAAATCCTAAAATTCATTTTCTGTATGAACATAAAACAAACTGAAGTTGTTAAAAACATTTTCCAATATAATTTGAGATTTGTTTTCTTAATTAATATATTCCAGAAACACAAGTAATATTTACCTTCTTCAGCCCAGCAAAACCCTCTGATTCCAGAAAGAAAAAGGCAAAAGGCATCAACACAAACAAACAAAGGTTGGAAAAGAGAGAAGCAAGATTCCACAAACCTAAAAAAGAATGGAGGGAAAAAAGAGGGAAAAAATTATTTTAAAGCTTTATTACAAAAATGTTAAGAGAATAAACAATTTAGCAACAATGTATCCTTGTAGTGACATAATTCCATAAATGTATTAACTCATTCTGTCCATTGGGGGGAGTGAGCACACAGATAATAATCATCCACCGTACCCTAAAGGTGAAAGGAGCTTCAACACACAACAAATGTAAGCAGACATACAAAGACACAAGCTATTGAAAACAAAACAATCAAAATAACAAACATCACAACTGCACATTTAAATTCTCTCAACAGTCAACCTCAAATGATAAAAGGAAAGGTATCCATTCAGAAAGATGCAATTCTGAGATAATTCATGTCCATATGACAGTGACATTGGCTAAAAATAATATTTGAAATACATTTACCAATGTTACCAACAAAATTGATTCAATTTTAAAGCACACAGTAGTTTTAGGTCATAAAAAGGTACTGCCTATAACAGAATGATGACAATAAACACCAAAATCAAGTATCATAAAAACATCACATTGCATACGAAGCATTTAAGAAATATCAAAACTGATTACATTAAAGGGATATCAATCTGGCTCAAAGAATTTATTCTTTAATATTACTGAAAACTAGGCCTAACAAATTTTCACTAAGCAAAAGAAATTTATGATAGCAAAAAAGAACATCTACAGTACACAACCTTGCTTTTAATAAAGAAATTTTAAAATGCATACTTGAGAAAGTAATAAATGACAAACCTGTTAATACTTCAGTGGCATGTGGATAGGCTACAATTTGAATCACTGGAAGAAATACTCATATCAACATACTTTTAGACCAAACCAAGTATCAAAGCACAGTTTTAATATTAAGTATATTTTACTATAGCATAATTCTTTAAAATTTGGTGACCCAAATATGCTATATGTAAAACCTTCAGTTAACCAAAATATTTGGCTTATTAGGGCAAATCATTTTGCAACAATTTTAAATAAATGCTATCCAAAATGTTTATTATATTATTGTATTTCTAGAAAAATCTAAATAGATTTCATCATCAGGTAAGCATAGATATCATTTATCCATTATCTTCAGAGAATAAACTATTTCACTTAAATTAAGTTTTTAGGTAATAATATTCACATTTTAATAGCACTCACAAACCTGTAAAATAGAGTAATGCAAGTATTATCTTCCTTGTTTTTACAGGTAAGAAAGCTAAAGCTGATAAAATTTAAGGACAAAAGCTGATAAAATTTAAGATCACACTGCAAGTAAATGGCAGAGATAATATTTGAATTCAGGTCTCAACTCCAAGTTCAATGCTCTTTCCACAACAATGCATAGCTGCACAGATCATTGATATATCCTTCAGAGAGCTAAACCTGCTGTTTTTACCATTTTTTGAACAAATTTTTCAAAAATGTGTATATATCCACCCAGGATAAGAAGGGAAGCAGTTAAATGTATCAAATTTCTTTGATAAGTTTTGATATCCAAAATATATAAGCAATTAACAAAAAAGACTAATAGCCATTACCCACTACCCAAGCCATTACCCAAGAGGCCAAAGGATATAAACAGTTCTCCGTGGAAAGTGCAAAGTGTTAACAATCATATGAAATAATGTCCCAAATCACTAATAAGAGAAATGCAAATCAAAATAACCCGTAGGTTTCCCCTTACATTTGCAAAATAGCAAAAATGACCAAAACAGGCAATAGTCAATGTCAGAGGGACAATAGGATGATAGAAACACATGCTTTTTGTTGGAGCTGTAAAAAAGGTACAACCGTTTTGTAAAGTAATTTGGGATTATGCAAATAAAATGACTAAACTGTCCATACATTTGGCCATTCCATTATTACACTTACGCCCTAAGGAGCCACTGATAAGAAGTTCTCATATGCACCAAAGTATAGAAAGCAGCACTTTTTGTGATAGCAAAAAATTAGAAACAAAGTAGAAGCTCCCTGATCGAAGCATGACTAAACAAATTGTGGCACATGAATGTGATGGAATATTAATGTGTTATAAGAAATAATTAATGCAATAAATAGAGAAACATGGAAAGATTTACATGAACAATGCAAAGTAAAGCAAGCAACGTCAAGAAAACAATATGCATCAATATAAACAGAAAGATCACAAAAAAAATCAAACGTATAGCAAAATTATAAAGATCACACACAAAATGAAAGAGATCTAAGAGGACACTCCTGACCCACTCTTTTGAGAGGCAGGAGGTGCACAGGTGTTGCACATTGCACATGTTTCCAGACTTTGTCAATGTATTGATCAGTGTTACTGAAGTTTTTCCTCTTTTTCTTTTTTAGTCTTTAAAAAATACTATTTGTTATATGGGATGGCTCTCTGGGAGAGGCAAGGAAGGGGTATTGAGGAAAACTATGAAAATGCTAAACAAAAGGCATCCCCAAAATTTACTTTTAAAAATGCATTATATCTTTGCCTTCTTAAATATACTGAATATAATTTAACCTTTTTATAAATAATAATAATACAGGTTTGGACACACAACCATTATTATTCTATGCTATCCTCAGGTCCAATTAAATTGCTTAGGACTGTTTGTCCCTATATTAAATTGAGTCTATTGTTCATTCTTCATTTCAAAAAGGACCAATAACATTACAGGTAATGTCTTCATTTATGCATGAATTGGATATAAGTGAGGCAGAGTTGCACAAAGTCATTAGCTTCACTCTCTCTTCAGTCATCAAAGTCCAGTGGCAAGACAAAAGTCAGGATGACTGATGATGGCCCCAGATACTGTGGATGACGTTAATGTCTTTGATGTCTATCTAACCAAGCCCTAAACACTCCACAATACCCGCTTCAACCTACACAGATATTGTTCTCATTCACCCATTCCTCTGGGAGGTCTTCACTTGCTTAGACACCCCCCCCCAATTCATCAACTGAGGCCTATCAGTTACCCTCAACCTGCTTTACACTGTCCGCCACAACAGTTTTTACCAGGATGTGGATGCTGCTCATGCTACAACTTCTTAGAGCCACAGGTGAGAGTTGAGTGGCAAGTGGACAACAAAAGTGGATTAGCAGCCCTGAAAATGATTCAACAGACCTCACGCCAGAGGTACTGGTTCTCCCTGAACACCCCATGCAGCCCTCCTATACTAAATAACTCTTACTAAATAACTTTTTTTGAGTTGCATCCACTTTTTTATGACTTCTGCGTCCCTTTCTTCACTATAAAGCTATTACTGTACCCATCTTTAGCAACACATTCCTTTTCCTCACAGAATTTCTGTGAGAATCAAATAAGATAATATTTGTAAAGTGCTTAGCTCATGTCTAAAACACAGTAAATGCTTGATAAATGGTTATTCCCCTCTCTACTTTCCAACTTAACACCTTGCTGCTTCCAACACACAATATGATCTAGACAACCTAATAATTAAGTTCATTCAAATTTTGTACAGTCAGAATTTTGTACAAAATTATTTCTAAGCAGGGGCCTCTCCTATGAGTAAAGTTCCTAAACTTTGGTTTACAGACTTTGGGTGACTTTTACTTTGACAACTCAGGGGACTTTTTTGGTTCTCAGCTCTGTTCAAGTTAGCTGAAGTTGGTGAAATATGTGAGGCAGATAAGTGATGTGTACATGGCAATAAACTATGAATTTTTGTTATGCCAGGAAATGGGTTTTTATACACTCCTTCAACTTGGTGGGAGGCAGATTATAGCTCTCTTTTTAACCCCATTCATTTATAGAAAACAGGATTTTGTACATTTGCAAACATAGCACACAGGATGAGCAGGTGTGAATAAGCTGCAATCTGCATCATTGAGTTCACATTTATGAGATATCTGAGTATGGGAGAAACCTTGTTGGAGGAGAATCATCAAGATAATGGCAAATTTAAAATGTCTTAAACTGAAATTATAAGATTAAATTGTCAGTATACTGAAACTATGGCCAGATTAGAAAAATCCATTTTAATTATAAAATATATTCTTAAATTGTGCAGAGGTGAGGAAGGAAAGTAAGCATACAGGAAAGTATAGGAAAGAGGTCCTTTTCTGGTAAAGAACTAGGTAAATGAAAAAGGACATTAGTTCTGCAGTCAAAGAATTGACTTTGGAGTCAAATCTCTCCTCTGACATTTACTACTGATATGACCTCCTCTGGTCTCAATTTCCTCATCTGTAAAATGAGGGAGCTGGTCTATATAGTCTAGCAAGGGTGAGGGGCCACACGTGACCCTCTAGGCCCTCAAATGCGGCCCTTTGACTTAATAAAAGGATTTGTTCTGTGAAGTGTGGATTTGGTCAAAGGGTCACATTTGAGGACCAAGAGGGCACAGGTTACCCAAGCCTGGCTACAGCCTACAACCATAAAGCTAAGAGTTGTTGTTGTTGTCCATCCTTCATTTTCTTTTTGTTTCCATCCTTCATTTTCAAAGAGGATCAATAACATCACAGGTAACATCTTGACTTGTGCATAAACTGGATTTATGTGAGGCAGAGTTGCACAAAGTCATCAGCTTCACTCTCTCTTCCAGTGTCATCAAAGTCCACTGGCAAGACAAAAGGCCCCGGATATAGTAGATGACCTCTGTGTCTTCAAGCTGCAAGTGCTCCACAGCACCTGCTTCAGCCACTTTCATGGCCATTGGAACAAATCGTTCTCATGCACTCATTTCACCAGGGGAAGTCTTCACATGTTTGGAGTAGACCTCCCTCTACCTCATCAAAGGGTTTGAGGTCTGTCAGTTATCCTCAACTTGGTTTAACCCATCTGCCAAGACGGTTTTACTGGGGTGTGACTGCTATGCATGCTACAACTTCTTGGGAGTCACCAAAAACAACAACAACAACAGGTATCAAATGATTTAAGTATATATAATGATTATAAGCCATCTACACAAGCTTAAAGGCCAGAAAATCACACTCTTCTCACAAATAAAAATAAAATGTATTACTTCTTGATTGCCAAATCTTTCACCATTC